CGCGGGATCTGGGGCACACACGCACACGCGCCTGGCATGAGTTTTAAGCCACCGGGTCCGGGACGTGAACCGCAGGACTACGTGGGAGTCCAGCGACATAGCCATTACGCTAACTGCTGGTTCCCACAAAATAACTCTTAAAAGAGAACCTTTACTGAAACGACTAAAGCATTTTTCTCTATTTTAAACAGAAGGATTTAGTTAATGAAATACAAGACAGCAAATTTAGGCAAAAATACTCTGCCAAAGTTGTTGGAAGCTTTGCTGGGGCTGTTATCAAATGTCTACAATTCTGATGTTTCAAACATCTTTTCCTGGGAACCAGCAGTTAGCGTAATGGCTATGTCGCTGGATTCCCACGTAGTCGGCCGCGGTTCGCATCCTGGACCTGGTGGCTTAAAGCTCACGCCGGGCGCGTGTGCATGCATGCCCAAGATCCTGAGAGGAGAATGGAGGAGAAGGGACTGCAGTGTGACCATCCCCCCTGGGGGGTGATTTCTTGCTTTCTGTCTCTCTGTCTGTCTCTGTCTGTCTGTCGAGCGCATGCGCCCTGTAGCAAAAACCTCTCAAAAAAAAAAAAAGATCTTTTCCTTTAAAAAAAAATTATTTAACTTTATTTATTTTGCTTATTTTTAAAATTTGACCAGAGAAGACAGAGTGAATGAGTGAGTGAGTGAGAGAGAGAGAGAGAGAGAGCAAGCAAGCAAGCCACCAGGTCCGGGACTCACACCAGTCAGTCCAAGCCCCTTTACCCACTACACCACCTGCTGGCCCCTTAAAGATCTTTTCTAATTTAATAAATCATCTAATGGTTAAGACACACTTTTGACCTCAGCCAAGTGCTACAGTGTCTAAAATAATTACATGGCATAGCTGTTTCAATAAGTTAAAAGCTGTTGAGATATCCAACCCACTAGTGATTAAAGGAGCATTACCTATAATACACTTTGATGAGTGGTGAAATAAACTGGAACCAGATTGAACAGAATTAAAAGGGGTGAAAACAAGTCAAGAGGTGTGAACATGTACTCTACCCTCCTCAGCCATAGAAAGGACAGTAATCAAATGAATATTTTTTTTTTCTTAAAGACAGAGGGCACTTTAGTGAATCTAAAGGCAAAACAGACACAACCAGTTAAAAGTATCTGTTAAAATACCGGAGAACAGACATGGATTCAAATCATGATTCTTAATAGCTACCTGACCTCAGGCTATTTATAACTTCTAGGAGCCTTGATGTCCTCACTTATATCCAGATAATAAAAGCACCTGTTTATCTAGAATCTGGGGACAAAGCAAGAACTCAGTAAAAAGTACCTATTATTAGGCATTATTAATATACATATTTTGTCCAGTTAATGAGAAAAGGTACTATATAGATCATTTCTAGCCCAGGGCTGAAGGTTGAGCAAAAATTCAGTATACAGCAGCACCACTATTGTATATCACTATGTATTTCACAGAAAAAGTGTCTCAAAGAAAGAATGTGAATATGAGAGCAAGCCAAATTTCACCTCAACTACTAAATATAATCTAAATGTTAAGAAATTTTAATTGGTAACAGGAATTGCTGGTATTTCAACACACGTGCTTATTGTCAAATAATTTAATAGGCAGCATCTCAATTTTGACCCAGCGAGGATTTTTCGGTCCTTAAATGCTAAAAACAAGTCGAGGCTAGTCGGCCTCCAGTAGAACGGGGTGTCAGGTAAGAGAATATTTGGAAATCTCGAGAAATAAGCTAAGGGCACAGCACCAACATAAGACAGCTCAAATTTAGTGGATTCTGGTGCAGCCACTGCTGGGGAAAGTGTTTCATGGGGCAGGAGGAGAGCGCGGCTAAAGCCCATCAACGCCGTCCGAGAAGCGTCGCTATGGCCGCCGGGGGGACCAGTCTCCGCTCCTCGGTCCCCGCGCTCTGGGCCGCACTGGCCCCCTGCCCGCCCCCACGGGCCCTCCCGGCGCCCGGAATCCTGGCCTGCTAAACCGCCAGAGCGACGGCCGGCAGGGTCTCCGACCTCCGTGCTGCCTGCTCGAGCCTCAGGCCCGGGGCGCTGGGCGGTGTGCGCTCGTGGCCGCGCAGGACCTGAGGGCAGCGCCGGTGAGGTGCACGGGGCGCGAGCCGCCGCCGGTTGTCACACACGGTGCGCAGGGGGTGGTCGCCAGAGGGACGAGGGGCCAGGTATAGCTGGACACGTGCCTGTGAGGACCGACCCCGGGTGCGAGCCAGGGTACCTGCGAAAGCCGGGGCTG